TATATATATATATATATATATATATATATATATATATATACATGCATCATCCACAATTGCTCCATTTCAAGACAATTGTTTTTACTTTTAAATGTTCCCTTACAAATCTGGCCATAAGAATATATTTTTGCATAGACATACTCAGAGTCTGTTTTATCAGACTCTTTAAAATGCTGCATTTTAAAAGGAAGTGCTTATTTTTTCCCCCTGTTCTCTTAGGCATCTATACTCTTCTGAGATCTCACCCACTTCCTTAGCTTCAAATATCACGTGGCACAAAAAAGCAACCACATCTTTATCTTGAGTCAACTTCTGTTATTTATTCTCCAGGCATCCATTTATTCACTCTATGCACTGTGCTGGGGGCTGGGAATACAAATGTGTAAAGTGTGGTCCTGTTTCTCTGAGAGAGTGTAGAACATTAGAAGGAAGGTTTTGAACAAATAAGGCTGCAATGAGATTGAGGTATAGTGGGAATTTGGGAGAAGAAACCCTAAAACTGGCTTGGGTACCTAAAAAGGAGGGGGGGCAGGAGGACAGCTGAGCAGAGGAAACTGCATATACCAAGATATGGACGCTCCAAAGATTACGGTACCTTCTGGAAACCACAGTGGTTTAGTTTTGGTGGAGTGTGTGTTGGCTAGAGACAGAGAGTGGGGTTTCAGGCAGGGGCCAGATCCATAAAGTTCTTACAAAGGATTTGAGATAGTGTTTTGTGGATGATAAATATCTTAGTTCCCATTGATTTTCCTCTGTAGCCAGAGTGATAAAGTACTTTGAAGATGAAAATCTGACTGTGCCTGCCCCCCAACCCCCCCATAGGATGGTGTGCCTATAGGATGAAGTGCCTAGTTTTTAGCAGACTGAAAAGGCCCTGCATGAGCCTCTCCAATTGCCTTATCCACTCACCACATTCTTCTTCATCCCAGTTATAAATGGCTTCCTTGAGTCCTTTCTTACTGTCTGGCCTTTGTACATGCTGTGCCCTCTCTTAGAATACTCTTTTCCTCTTGGGCTACCTAGAGTCTCAAACATTCCTCCTCAGCCTTCCCTGATCCTGGACTAGGTGAGGTCCCCTGCTGTATGCTCCCAAAGCTGCCAATACTGCAAATGTCATAATCTCAATGGTATGTTCCCCTGTAGGCTGCAAGCTCTGTGACAGGTCATCCTATTCTCTACAAAGTAGATGCTCAGTTGATGTTGTGGGGAGATGAATGAATACACTGAGCTTTTCAACAGCATACTGATATTTCCACCTGCATGTCTCCTAGAATGATGAACTCTACATGTCCAAAATCGGACATCATCCTCTCCTTCCCTGCCTTCTCCCTGCATCACCCCACCCCTGCCCAGTTAGCTACTCCTTTTAGTGGGCAAACTTCTCTGTTGTTCTCCCCACTCAAAACAAAGAAATCCAGCTCTTCCCTCACTTCCTCCTCCTCTCTGCTCAGGAGCTAAGTCCTTCCCTTCCATTTCGATTTTTTTCTGGCTACCATTCTAGAATTACAAAGTAATTATAAAGTATCATAGTGGGAAAAATATGGATTTTAGAACAAGATAGGCCTAGGTTCGAGTCTTGGGTCTACTGTACTTGGGTTTCCTTGGGTCAGGTCAGTAAGCTCTCTAAGCCTCAGTTTCTGAATCTGTAAATGGGGATATTTATTATCCACCCTCTAGAAACGCTATGCACTTCAGGTGGTAAATAGATAGTCCTCTTATTATTTTCACTACATATTGGACATGTCCTGCTCAAAAACCTTCAGAGGTTGCTAATCACTTGACCATGAACCCTAAGCCATACATCTTGGTCTTGTCTCTCATTACTTCCCACCCCACCACAAATCCTAAAATCTGGGCAATCTGAAATATTGGCTAATTCCGTCACTCTTTTCTCCCTGCTTCCAGGTTTGAGTTCAAATAAAAAGTCCTCCCTGATTACCTGAGCACCAAGTAACTGGCTCCTTCCTCTGCAGTCCTGTGTGCAGTTCAGTGGGACTTAACACCAACTGTTTTGCCTTGCGGACTAGGCGACTCTCCTCTGGATTACAAACTGCTGACAGCGGAGGCTTTGGTGGGTTCATCTATTACCTTGCGTATACCTTCCATGCAGCTGGTGCTCAATAAATGCTTGGTGAAAGAACAACTCATTTTCCTTATTTCAATGGCTTCTTTTCTCTATAGAATCAGATGTTCGGTTATTCTCATCTCAGCACTGTTTTGTTGGCTTCCAGGGAGCACATTACCATTAGATACGTTCTGCTCTCTTTAATTGGAAAGAGCTTTTGGAACTGAAAAATAGGAGTTACATCTTCAAGCCTCATCTGCCGCTCCCTCGAACTCACCCGCCTGGTACAAGAATCGAACTACTTAGCATTACACAGAACATGACTCTCTCACACCTCCGTTCCTTTGTACATGCGTGCGTTCCCTTCGCCTGGAGCGCCCTTACCCCGACTTCTCTGTCTGGTGAACTCCTCCTCCTCTTCCAAGACTCAGCTCAGACGTCATCATCACCTTCTCTGGGAAGGCTATTCTGAGATGGGCAGAGTAGCGGTCCTTCCTCCCATCTTTTTTAGCTTCCTCAGCATTTCCCCCAAATAATTCTAACATTGCATATGGCTTTTTTTTTTTTTTTTACTTTTCTTCCGCTCCTCTAGATCGTGAATTGCTTGAGGGCCAGGATATCCCTTCATCATTGTACTTTCTATACTCAACACCTATACCTATATACCTATGATTAGCACGTATTAGGCACTTGATTAGATCAATGAGCGAAGAATATGTCAATTCCGCTAACAGGGCCGTTTGGACCATATTCTCAAGTATTTCAAAAGCTGGTCCTCTATTTGGAGTGTTTCAGGATGGAGGGAGATTCCCGCATCCCCACCCCCGCCCCCCGCAACTGCCTCGGTTTGGTGGCAGGAGAAGGGAAGTGATTAGGGTGTGGTGAAGAGTTAACTCCTTCAGGGCTAAGCTGTAATTTACCCTCCTTGGCACAGAAAGGGTTACAGCGACCCGGAGGCGGAGCGATGTCGGTGCCACCTGCTCCGGGGCGGTCTGGCGCACGCGCCTTGGCATCTAGATGGTGGCTACCTGCGGGGCCCGGGCGGAGGAGGAGCGCTTGCGCTCTGGGCCTTTTCCGCCGGGGGAAGTCTCGCGGGGGCGGGGCGGGGCGGGGCGGGGCCGCGCGGGGAAGTTCTCGCGGGACCCAGACGAGGAGCGGAAGCCAGGAGGCTGTGCTGCTTCGGCGAGCGGGCGGCGGCGGCAGCGGCAGCGGCAGCGGCAGCGGCGACGAAGACTGAGACGGCAAGGGCGGCGGGAACAGGCGCTGCCGTCGGGGAGCAGCAGCGCGGTCGGCGGCCGCTCGCACCGCTGCAGAAGGGCCGGCCGGGCGCGGAGCGGAGCAGCTGCGCCACGGTGAGTGCGGCCAGCGGCGGCGGCGCTGCTCCGGTGCCTCTTCCCCCTTCGCTCGGCAGCGGGAGTCGGCCTGCGGGGACCGGGCCCAGCCTACCGAGGGCTGCCGGGGTTCGGGGTCGGGGCGGCGAGGCCTGGGGCGGGGGACGGAGTCCCCGGGGCTCCCGGGCTCCGCGTTTCCCCTTTTGGGGAGCTTCCTTCCTGGGGACCGTTCTCCCCCAGCCCTTAGCTCGGTGTGGAGCCCCGGACCCCAGGGCAGGAGGCCGGGTGCGCCTCATTAAGTTTCACCCTTTCTTCCGGAGGGTTTGCGCAGAGGGGTCGGGAGAAGCCGGGGAGCCCTGGGTACTCATTCTGTGAGTCAGTCTGACTTGGCCGGGAGGCGGGGGATTCGCAGCGGCTGCAAATGTGGTGATTGATGCTCTTGCGACCTGCACGGCCACCACGTCACCATCTCCTGGTGTCATTGGGCCGAATTTGGGGAGGGAACCCACCGACCCTATGAATACCGTGAGTTAGAACCTTTGCTGCCGGAGCCAGTCGAGATGTCTAGTTTTTCTTTTTCTTTTTTGAAGCTACTCTGAAAAATACTTGTAAAAGAACAATAAGCAGCAGTTGGTTGGAATGCTCCGGGGAAAGATTTCAGTGCGAGGGATAGAAAAGCACTGGTATTTTTCATTTGCAACGCTCTCCATATAAGCCACATGAGTTACAGCTTGTTTAGGGAGTCATTATAAAAGTAGGATTTGCAGAGGAGCCGAAGTGCACTCGACATCTATCTTTTGGTCCTGTTGACTCAGAAAAGAGTCTGAAAGACACATGAAAGAAGTTAGCATATGTCTTTGGCTTTCCTGTCTCTCTTTCGCTATACTTCTCCAGCAGTTGCCTTCCCTTTCTATCTACTTCTATTTTCACTGAGGACACTAAATGCTTACTTGTGTAATGCAAGTCACTTGCCCATCCCTCCACCCCCCCTCTTTTCTAATCTACTTCCCCTTCCTCCTTTTTGTCCCCTCTTCGGCATAATTTTTCGAGGTTTCTGCCCTTTGGTGCAATTCGTCTTCTCCCTCATTTAAAGATTCCGTTTTCTCTCCGGGGAAGTACCCTCTTTCCTGCTTTATCCTTCACTTTGAAGCGTCCACTGTGTTCCTTCAGTCAGCCAGAAGAGTTGCCAGAGAGCCATGCGAGACTTTTAAGTTCTCCCCCTGGGAACTGGGAGGCTCAAAGGATTGAATTCATCCGTAAGTAATCAATACTGCCACTGGGTCACAAGTGTAGCTTGCTTGTGTTATTTGTGTTTTGGTTGTTTTCTTCATTTTAACATTGTGCTTTTGTGCCTGCTTACACTTTTCTCCCTGTGTCTCTCTTATATTAGTTAAGGAAGATTGGGTCAATTTGGGGCTTTTATGACTTATCTTTTGGCTTTTAGTGGGAGTGGCTCATGTTAAAAAACAAAACCAACCATAGACCTATATTACAATAGAATTAAGATAACATGAAATATTTGAGGGAATAGAATTTATTTAGACCACTGATGAATTAAAACTTGCCCGTTGTGACAGTATGAATTTATTCTTTACCAGGGTTCTTTTAATCAGGCAACTTTGTTATGTTGTTGGAGTCCTTTCCATAGAAAGAAGTAACTTTATGTGTTCCATTGCTCTTCCCTTGTTCAAAATTTTCTGAATTCTCAAAAAATATAATCGGTTTTCTTTGATACTAAAAGCAAGCATTTAAATGCTTGAGGCAGTTTACTTCCTTAGCAAGTATATTCAGATTTGAGGGATTGCTAGGTTTTAAATACTACTAGTTCATGGTACTTAGCAGTTTTTCTGAGAAAAATCCTGTTATGTTGCCTGTTGTGCAGCAGCGGTTCTGATTGTTACCTAGAACAGAAGAGTAATAGATTTTCGAGAAATTAAGTAATACAGACTAGAGACCCACCGTGCTCTCCTGAGAGAAATTAATAGTTACTTGCTTAATTAAAAAAAAAGCTTTCTGGCACTACTGAAAGACTATTGAGAGCCCTTGGTTTTATTTGTTAAAGTTGGCTTTTTCCTAGTTGAGCCAAGTGAATATGCATTATTTCCATTTTATTCAAAGACATTGTAGTGCATTATCTGGAATGCAAAGTTAAAATCTGGTTAAGCACCTTTCTAGTACAGCAGTGATTCTTAAAATTTAGCATGCAGAAGAATTACCTGTGAATCTTATTTCAGGCTCTGGGCCTAAGGCCACTACATTGCAGAACTCCAGAAGGCACCCCACAGTGAATCAGTCTCTGAATGGAATGATTTTGATGCAACTAGTTCAAGGACCGAAACTGCTGTTACAGAATGCAGCTGTAAAATAATGGGGCTGGAATGTGGTTTTAAATTAGTCAACTTAAATTACACTTTCTGTATGTAGAGTAAATATTTAAAAGCCTAAGAGAATAAGTGACGATACATGTGATTAGTCTTTGTATGTGTAAATATTTGAGCATTGTTAGGACTCTGATGTGGAGCAATTTAATTTTAAAGTTTATATTTAATAGGGCTGTTAATTTGCCTACCAGAAAGCTCTTCTGAGTTTGTATGTAGATGGAAGAAGATGGACAACGTAGGAACATATGGACTGCTACTTGAAAAGGTGCTGGTGATGCCGGCCAGTTAACACTTCTTAGTACTTTGTGCCAGAGACTCCACGGCCTTTACTCCTCTCCAAGGCCTTTATATGTGCTATCTCTTAATCATCAAAATGTCCTATCAGGTACATGCGTTATTATCCCCATTTTCCAGCTGAGGGAAACTAGGATTTAGGGAATATAGGTTCACCCATCTAGTGGTAATGGGACAATTGAATTCAGGTCTAACTCCAGAGCTCCAGTAAGATTATTTAGTGTTTGTTTTTTCTAACTACAGAAGTAGTGATGAAAATACCATTGAGGTGTGTAGTGCAGAAAGAAAAAAATATTGGGGTGCCTGGGTGGCTCAGTGGGTTGAGCATCTGCCTTTGGCTCAGGTCATGATCCCAGGGTGCTGGGATCAAGTCCCGGCATCAGGCTCCCTGCCCAGCGGCTTGTGTGTGCACTCTCTCTCTCAAATAAATATAATCTTTAAAAAAAAAAAGTGAAAGTATTTTGTGATCTTGCTCCTAGAGATAACCATTGTTAATCTTTTGGGTTTTTTCTTTAGCACACACTGATAAATACTATTTTGCTTTATGGAAATGGGATAAACTAATTTTTCGGCATTTTTGTTTTTAACTTGATAGCATCTCTTGGTATTTATATAGAAAGATATTCCATAGATATTCTCATGGATATTGATCAGGTGTATATATATATATATATATATGTATTTGGCACATGGTATTTGTCATTATTTCAGTGAGATAAATCTAGGAATTGGAATTGCTTTTTCAAGGATTTGTATTTTAAAATTGTCAACATAAAATTACTATATTACAACATATTACTATAAAATTACTTTCCAGAAAAATTGAACTGATTAATTCCCTGCTACAGTGTGGGCTCTGTGAAGGTTTTATTACTATACTACAGTACCAAGCACATTGTCAGGCACATAGTAGCTGCTCAAAATGTTAAATGGATGAACACTGGGTAAAGAATCAGAGTGTGTTCACCCAGAGTATTGCAGAGGCTAAGTATTATAAACCTTTAAAAAATTTGCCAATTAGTAGGTGAAGGAAATCTTGTTTTAATTTGCAGTTTTTAACAGTGAAATTGAACATCTTATGTTTTAAGTAGAATCATATTTTAACTTACGTTGAGTAACTTAATGTCAGGCCCTATTCAAAGCACTTCACGTATATTTCCTGTATTACCTAATAATGAGTGAATCTTATAAAGTAGGTGATACTATCCTCATTTTACAGATGAGAAATGGGGCTTGTTTAAAAGGCTTGCCCAAAATTATAGCTGGTAAGCATCAAGGTCATTACCTGAACCCCGGTCAGCCTGCTTTTAAAGACCATGCAGACACTAAGCTATATTGCCCAGTGAGTGTTGTGTATTTTATTTTCTGTAAATTTTGGGAAGAAAAGAGTTAAATGGAAGAAAGAAAATAAAGTCCTACAAATACCTTTAGGGGACTACATTTTAGGATTCAATGCACATTGCTTGAAATGAACAATTCAGGCTGCACTTGTGGGTTTTGTTTTTTTTTTTTTTTAAGATTTTATTTCTTCACTTGGATAGAGAGCACAAGCAGGGGGAGTGGCAGGCAGAGGGAGAGGGAGAAGCACGCACCCCCAGGAGCGCAGGGATCCTGATGTGGGGCTTGATCCTACAGGATCAGGACCTGAGCCGAAGGCAGATGCTCAACGCACCGAGCCAGAGCCACCCAGGCGCCCCAGCACTTGTGTTCTTAAAATTTGCTGCCTGTGATAGACTGCAGGGTGTATGCTGGAACAGCTTAACATTCTCATTAGAGTTCAGTGTTAAATGAACTCTCAACCCATTTTCTCCATTAAAATCATTATACATTGCATCCACTTTCAGTTTTCTTCTTTTGGTAATTAGTGTTGTGTATGAGATCGTTTTTTGTGGGTTTGTTGTTGGTTGTTTTTGTTTTTGCCTTTAATGAAACACATCCTTTTGAATTCCTTTAGCCTGTGTGTTCTTTTCTGTGGCTAGCCTGAGAAGCTGAGCCCTTCAGGTTTTCTCCATGAGCTGCTAATTTTTATTTGGCATAGCCGAAGAAGTATCGATTGTGCCTGGTTTTCATTTCTCTCAAACTGTATCACAAAGCAGTAGTTACTTGAAACGTGATTTTCAAGAGTGTCTGTTTATGCTCTCTCTAGGAGTCCTATGGTAGATGAGTTGGGTCACAGGAAAACCCAGTGTTGAAAACTGTCTTGATTTTTATGCTGTAGCAGTTCAGTTACACTGCAGTTGTCTGAAATCCCGATGACCTAGAAATTTATGCTGTTACAACATAACTACCTTAACAGTGACAACACTTTGAGTTTCTGATTTCTGTTTTTCAAAAATGAAACTCCTTATCTTTGTTAGATCTGCTCAGTTCAGCTTCCCATCATTGATACATAGTCCCAACAATCAGCCCTGGAGGCCAATTAAAATAAATGACCTGGTCAGGTAGAAAATATTGAAAGTATTGACAGGCATGTAGCAGAGATCTTGGAGCATTTGCAACAAAATAAAAATAGGTACACACATTGGAAAGAAGGCAAAGAAGGAAAAGCAGTTATTAATGCCAGGAAAAAGTAAAGGATTGTACTAGAAAGGAAGGTTGCTTGTAATATATTTAAATCAGCAGTGAAGAATATTTTGTAATATGAAACTGCTTAAACCAGAATACATGGTATTACAGGAAGGGGCAAGGGGAAGCTGGCAGAGGTGAACGTCTTGCAAGTGATAGGTCGTGGCTGGAATAAACTAAGAAACAGCAGCAAAAGCATATCATTTTAGAAATATTGTAAGTAAATACAAAGAGAAAGCTAAAAATAAAATTGAGGGTGGTTGCTGGTAGGTTTTGGGGTGAGGAACTGCCTCCCCTTTTTTATAAGCCTTTTAAAAGCGATGACTTCCAAAATTATATACATGGATTAGTTTGATTAAAAAAGCAACTACAGAGAGAATAAGGGTGTTTAAGGACACACAAAAATACTCTGAGGGGTGCCTGGCTGGCTCAGTCGAGAGAGCATGGGACTAGATCTTGGGGTTGTGAGTTTGAGCCCCATGTTGGGTGTAGAGATCACTTAAAATTTAAAATAAATACTCAGACTAATCTTCATATATATATATATCTTTTATATTTGCTAGAGCTCTGTCTTCCCTCTTTTAGAGCCAGCTGCACATGGGATATCATAGGTATGGCCTGATAGAATAAACATTGGTTTGGCTGATTAGTTTACCTGCAGTAGAATGTTTGGCTTTCAGAATTTGACCGAAGGACTTTTTATTACCGGGTGATTTCTTCCCTCCTTGGTAACACTCATTTCCTTCTTATCTTAATATTCCCAGCTGGTTTACTGCTTAGTCCATTTGCAGCTATGCTTGATTAATGCCCCAATTGTTAACTTTAGAACAAAAGAATAATCACCCGTGCCCCTCAGATGAGCTTTTTGCTAGGTGGTAATTATCCAAGAAGCGTGTCACTATAAATAATCTGTCCCCATTCTGCCACTGTCAGTGTTGTTTTCTGCTTTTATTTAGCCTGTATGAAAACACTAACTGAAAACAAGAATGGGACTTTATTTTCCTTTCCTTAGGCAGAGGTCTAGATTATGTCCGTGTCCGGGGCTGGAGATGGTATGCCCACAGCTCACCGTCACGTAGTACACTACCTAAGGGTTTTTACAGAATATTTACCTGCAAAATGCAATTTGGTTCATTTTAGAACCCCTCTGGCTCTGAGAAAAGCAGCTGTTGTCAGGGTAACTGTGAGAGGCTTCTGTTTGATTTACTGGCACCATCTCCCTGCACTTTCTCCAGATAAGGCATCTGGCAGCTCAGATTCTGAAAAACGGATTCCTTTCAAGTGTAGTTAGGACTTCAGCTTTGCTCCCTAGGGTAGTTGGAAATAATGTGGAGGCTGCTTCTGGAAATGCTGAACCTTGGACATCTATTTCAAGGGCTATTGGGACTTCAAAGTCTTGGGGGTGTTCAGAGGAGAAGGGTGCCTTAGGCAAGAGCAGGTCTTCACCAACAAAAGGCTCTGAGGCTGGATCTCCTCTTTCTGGTTACCTGAGCTTGCTGATCACAGTTTGGAAGTGATAGAGGGAGAGCTGCCTTGCTCAGAATAGCAAATTGAATTTAAAGGAGGAGTTCCGAGGTTCACTTTCTCCCGCTTTCCTAGGAGCGGACCAAGGGTTAGTTTCTGAGAACAGTTCAAGCAGCTCAGGACCAAAGCCGGAATTGCTTGCTTTTGACTGGATAGGGGACCCAACGTTTTCAGAAGACCAGAAAGCTTGGCAGGGAGAAAGGAAGGAAATGGGCCCAGGCTACTGAGAAAAGCGGGGTGCCATCCCCAGGGCGAGGCCTCTCTTTGGGCTGCATTTCGGGCTGGAGGAGCAGAGAGCGTAAGGGGCGAGGGAGGAAAGGCGGAGACTGAGCGGGTCTCCAGCCGGTTCCTGCACACCGCGCACACCCAGCGGGAAGGAAGAGGAAGTGTGTTCTTGGAATAGCTCGAACAGCGGCCGCCATTGGCCGGCGGGGCTGTCAGTCGCCTGGGGGCTGAGACTGCGAAGAGGAAGGAGGCGATCGGGGCTCCTGCCTGCGAGCGAGGGAGGCGGGCCGAGCCAGGCCAAGCCAGGGGGCGTGGGGGCTGGGGCGGCAGGCCGATCGGCAGGGCGGGGCTGCCTTCGGTGCTGGCCCCTTCTCTCACCCATCCCTCTTGTGATTCAGGGTGGCATTGTGTGTCCCGGAGTGCACGAGCGAGTCCCGGGAGAGCGGCGAGGCTGAGCCCAGAGCGCTGGGTGGCTTCGGCAGGGAAGACTCCCTTCCCCCGGCTTCAGGCTGCTGAGCCCTGAGCAGCGCTCAGAATGGAAGCCATCGCCAAATATGACTTCAAAGCTACCGCTGACGACGAGCTGAGCTTCAAAAGGGGGGACATCCTCAAGGTAAGTGTGATGCCACGCAAATGCTGAGATGGCCTCCTCTTGTACTCACCTACCTTCGTTTGCCCTGATAACACACAAAGAAGGCAAGCTCGTCCTTTCTTATTGCCCACTTTTCCCATTTACCGTGGGGCGGGCTCTGGATAGCTGACAGAGATGCTGAGTGGAATATTAAATATGACTTAAGAGGGTTGGTGTGATGTATGGTCTTTAACTGCCTTTGTGTGAATGCCTCGAGTATTTCTATTGCTTGTTGGTAATTCAAGTAAAGTCAAAGCAGCATGAGTGTATGAGTAGACTGACCTTGTAGTCTTATTAAGCACTGGGTTTTTTTTTTTAAAGTCTTAAACTTGAAGTATTTATGTAAAAGCACTCAATTAGTCTTACTTTACCTGGTCAAAAGATTTTTGCAATCCAGAAGCTGATGCTAGTTGGTTAGAAATGAATTTCCTCTAGTTTAGAGAGGTGGTTAGAAGTATATGCCAAAACTCATTAAAGAACCTCAGTGTCTTTTAATTCTTTGTGAAAAAAGTAGTGGAGTTCTAAATCCTAAGGTTCATCTTCCTGTTGTACGAGTCAGATGGCGATTTTCTTAAAAGAAACTTGAGCAATTACCCTGTATTACACTCTAATTGCACAAAAGAAACCTGCTGACAGTTTAAAAATAAGCTGCTTTCCAGTTTGCAGCTCATTCTGAGCCCAAACTATTTACTTGAGGATTCGCTTTCCACCTGACACATGGTAATTATGTTGTTTACCCAATTGACGGCAGCAGCTTGCCCTTTTGGATATGTAATTTATTTTTACAAGGGTGGGTGTTATCGAATAATGTGTCAGCTCTGCAGGAGGAGAGCCTGAAGTTTAGCATTTGCATATTCCATGTTCATGGCCTCTCAAGTTCTGACATTTTTTCTTAGAGGCGTTTGTAGTCTGATGGTTGAGAGTTTGCCACGCATTTGTTTACTACCCCTGAGTGAAATTATTAAAATTTCACAAAGAGAAAGAAAGTGGAAATGTAGAAATGTGGTCCCCTGTAAAAAGACCGCTGATTTTTCCCCCTTTTTTGAGTCTTGCCGACCTGTGGGTAGTTACTATTTTGCTCTCCTTGCCTGAGACATAGAGTTCCACTCTGAAGTGTGTTGATGTTAGAAATGTACGTTGTACTTCCTAGAAGGCAGTATTGAAAAGTCCTTTAAGGGGAAGGAAAGTGTTTTTTTCAGAGCTGTTCTTGTGATGCCAAGCTTCCCGAGGATATTCTCAAAGTCAGCACTGAAGTGTCAGAAAGCAGACAGAACCAGCTGTAGGTTTTAGAGCAACGTACGTTTTCTGTTTCTGTTTTTTTAGCTAGAAGTCAGAGCAAGGGAGCAAACTTAGACTGTTAAATTACTCTCTGTCGTTGGTGTACAGAGGAGTAATTTGATGTTTCCATAGGTGATTACTGTTTTCAGCAGATAAACAGTCGTGGTATCATAAGATTGGCTACTCCAATATTGTACACCTGAAACTAATATAACACTGTATGTTAACTATAATGAAATTTTAAAAAAAGATTGGCTGCTCAGGTACTCACATCTGTAGCCTCTACAAAAATCTTGTGGGAACGGCCCCCCCCCCTGCAATGCAAACTTGGGTTTCTCCATTAAGCTCACCCAAGAAACTTGAATCTGGAAGCCTGGTAGTTCATATTTTTCTCTAAGTTTATCCCATTATGTATTTAGCACTAAAGCAACAAAACGAAACTAAGAATTTGAGCTCTATTTTTAATAATTTTTAGGCAAGAACCTTCCCTGTTACCACTGAAGTTTATCCTAGACCTAGACCATGAGCATCTCATAAGTTCTCCAACTTAAATTGGCAAATTCTTGAACAAGTGTGAAACCTTTCTCTCCCATCCTATAATTAGAGAAGATGATACTGTTTAACATTCCCCCAGAAATTGTTCTGATGGGAGAGAAAGTGAGTCAGAGTGTTCACATTTACTTCCAGAGTGTTCACATTTACTTCCAGATTTTCTTTGGGAAGAGAAAAGTGCATATATTTGGTTCTTTCCAATTTGGTAGATAACTGGCATATGAAGTCATAATGTCATTATTACTTTTGAATGGTGACTGACCGTTAGCTATTTATTAGTAATCTTGTGGCTTTACTCCAAAAAAAAAAAAAGTGACGGTAGAGTACTTGCCCTTTGTCTCGAAATTTTGTGAAACAGCTGAGTGAAAAGGAGGGACATTGCTTTGTCTTAAGAGCTGTTATTTTAAAAAGCTGTGTTTCCTTCATTTGATTGTTCAAGGAGTAACTGGTTTCATTTGCGTGGCTTTGATTTGATTTGATAGCTCTTTAGGATGTTAGCTGTGAGCCAAAACATGTTTAGAAGTGGCTGGAATAGCATTGACCAGTTTGACTTGATTGAAATTGGGCTATATTTGCTCTCTCTCGATAAGGGGGGGCATGTACACGTGGGTACTGAATGCATTTTATTTGAAGATAATGCAGTAGCAAGGGGCTTGGTGCTCTACCTCTGACTAGAGTTGAGAGGGATTTACTCTTCTCACTGTCTTGGAGCTCCTGGTTAAATTTGGTTAATGTGGACCCCATCTTCCAGCAGGCCGCTTGCTTACTTTCCATCTACACATTGACTTGTGCTGCCCTGAGAAAAGAGAGAAAAATAAAAACATTTTACTAGAAGCCTAAAATAGAACTGAATGCTTCAGTGTATCTGCCTTTGTTACTGTTCCTCTTATAAAAGCGTGTGTTTTTTGGAGGGGAGGAGGAGAAGGGCATTGGGGCAGAGAAATGGAAGGAGTTGCTCTTCTGTCAGAGGTTTCAACCTTGCATGGCCAAAATGAACCTAAATTTCCCTGCCGTTGTACTGTAGGCTTCAGATAGTTCCAGGGGTTCTCCACCAAACCAGGCCTCTAAATTCTCTACCTTAGAGCACAGCATACATCTGAACTTACCTTAAAGTCGAATCTGTTTAGGGGCTTATGTACCCATACTTCAGACAGTGCTGTGTACAAATTAAGAGACCATTTTGAGCTCTCAAACCTGTATTTATTGCATTCAAGAGCCGCCAGCTGTTTTCTATCAAGGCAGACCTTTAATTCTAGAAAAGAACCAACAGTGGATCATCTCAGTGTCTTCTACTTGTCTGGCACTAACTGCCTTTATCAGTTTTCAGTACTGATTTAGAAATAGGTCTTGGGGGGTGCCTGGCTGGCTCATTCGGTGGAGCGTTCGTTCAACTCTTGATCTCAGGGTTGTGAGTTCGGGCCCCATGTTGGGTGTAGAGATTACTTAAAAATCTTAGAAAAGAAATAGGTCTTGGGTTCATACTCAGCTCTTTGAAGCTTTCTATCTTGGTGCTGATGACCTGTTTTAATGTCACATTTACTGAGCATCTCCTTGAGCCACATCCTGGGATAAGTTGCTTTGAGAGTTGGGGAAGAAGTACTTTCTCCCTTGAGGAACTCTAAAATCAAATAAGAGAAGTGAAATTAATATGTGAAGCAGGATATGGCAGTATACAAAATTAGAGGGTTTTTAGAACAGGAGAAGACCTTTTAAAATCTCTTAATTTTGATTTTTATTATTTTTTTAGATGAGGAAATGGCCCGTAGAGGTTAAATGATCCATCCAAGATCACAACTATTAGTACTTAGTAAGGAACTGGTATTTCATGGGATGCTGAGTTGTGTCACACACTGTAACTGTCAGAGTAACGTGGGAAGGGCAGCAACTGTTAAGAGCTGACGTCTGAGAGTGCTGTGTGGAGGGAGTGTGAGTTGAACTGGCCCTCACCAGAGGGATGGGAGGGGGCGGGGGGGGGTGCTAGTTGTGTTTGAGATAGGAACGCTAGAATGGGGTCATTGACTGTGCCATGGTGGAAAAGAAGGTAGAATTGGAGTGAGATAAGAAAAACCAGTAAGAATTCAATCTTGTCCTTAAGAAGCCTTTGCAGGCTTTTAGCTGATGATGGAAGTGTTTTGGGATAGGAGGGAAGCCTGGAGCCCCAGCCTGGGAGGTCACCGTGAGCAGGCTGCATAGGTGCTGGAGACTAGGAAAGAAGGACGGGGGTGGAGGGTGTTGGGAGATGCTGAATGGACAAATAAGGGGATTTCTGCCTGTCAGCTGGGGACATTGGAATAAATCTGTGTAACCGAGAAACGAATGCCCACTGAGTATGTTCCTGAGAGCCAGGAAATCGGATCTGGGATTTGATTGGTAATAGTTTTCATAGCAGCGAGAAGTCCTGAATTTGGGTACAGGAGTCTCCTTTCAGGTGTTTGATGATTAAACCTAAAAATGCGGTTGGTGTGGGTTGTTTTGTTGTTTGTTTTTTTTCATGATTTCAAATTCATTGTACTTGGTAGGAGCATTTCTCTGCCTGTTGATAAGAATTCTTGGAGCGCCTGGGTGGCTTAGTTGGTTAAGCATATGCCTTTGGCTGAGGTTGTGATCCTGGGGTCCTGGCATCAAGCCAGGGAGCCTGCTTCCCCCTCCCCCCCACTCATGCTCTCTAATAAATCTTCAAAAAAAAAATTCTTACTGATCTTGACTAAACCCAGAATTTTGCATTTAATCCTTATGAATGAGGAGGATTTGTTTGAATTCTCTTAGAACAGATAATTTACCTTTCACTATATTCATTTTTACCCCTGTCATCTGAATGGACTGTTTCCAAATAGGTGCTAAGAATGAGCTTTCAGTTCCTATACAAGACTCCTTTGGAGGGCCTGGCTAAAGACCAGTCATCCCTGTTAGAGAAAGAAATGAGTAAGGAAATGCAATGTTCCTTTGGGAATCTTTCAGTTTTCACCTCTGTAAGCCATAATAGTTGAAGTCATCCTTGAATAGCTGTCATTTATGGAGCATTTACTATGCCACAGAGTTCTACGTTATTTCTAATTTACTTTGTGAAAGGTTGGCCCTCCTTAACCTCATCCTGTGGCTGCAGAAACAGACACACAAGTTAAGAAATTTGCTCAGGTTGACACATGTAGTAA